GGGGGAGGGGGTGTTTATAGGGGGTCGGGGGCGCACTGGCGCCGGGCCGGGACGTGTGCGGTGGGTCGGGTCGGGGTGGGGGCGGCTCCGGGGTGGGTGGGTGGGGGGGACGGCGACGGGTCGGCCTGGCTTCTTCCGTGACGCGGTGGGGCGCGGCCAATGGGGAGGAGACCACTGGTGCCGTGGTGTACACTGTGTTTTGCCGTGCCCGGGCTGGATTTTCTGTGGGCGCCGCGGCGGTGGAGCGCTCATGGGTTTGGCTGGAACGGCCGGAAGCTTCCGCCTTCCCGCGGACGGTTGTTTGGTTGGTTTGGGGCCGAGTCAAACGCACTCGACCTGCCTGTCGGTCGTAATTCGCGAACCATTTTTTATGCGTCGAAACCTTTTGGAAATAATCGAATAATCCCGTGGAGTACGCACCGCCTGATGTGAAAGCATGCAGACGAGAACTTCGGCGGATTTTTCCAAGGGCAAGTGCCATGAACACGACCTTTGTTATTATGTATATATACATATGCTTTATAAAATACGTACGCAAGGATATTATATGTTTATAGGCTAGCATCAGGGTCGGCATCAGGAGCAAAACCACGAGTGAATAGTCACATTAGATCGAGCGCTTCACTTTCACGTACGAACAAATGGGTCGCGATCCAAAACCGGAACGTCTAGACCGACGGCGATTTGATCCGGTGAAACGTTCTTTTATCCGCCTGACAGTTGAGGGCGGGCGGTGGCGTCGTCCACAGAAAGCTAAGAAAAAGCAGTGGACACGATCGCACGGCGCATGAACCACACACACGACACTGCCAACACGGTCTGGACAGCTATGTGAGCTGATGAGCATCTGTGAGCGAAATTACGATCAGGTTCCGTTGAATACGTCCTCAAGGAGGACACGTTGACATCTTCCTAGTTGAACATGCCAAGTCACTGTCGTGGTCGTCTAGAAAATCTAGAGCCGATGCATATCTCGAGGAAGGTTGTCTCAAAAATATCTCGGAGGAGGAAGTAAACGTGAACGCATGGTACCGGTGCGACGTGAACGTTCACCGTGGGGACCGACCGTGCTTTCGCTGGGGTGAAGATTCGGGGGAGCAACTGGTATGAAATATGTTCTTCAAGTACGAGCCATGTAGTCTAGTTGGTCAGGTCATATATTCTAGATATCATGAACTTCTTTTTAGAAAATTTCATTGCGGGGACGACATTGTCTCGTCAATATCGTCCAATCTGCCCCCTTAATGTTAGTTTTAAAATCTTCACTAAGGTAGCGACTATTAGGCTCAGTTCGGTTGCTGAACATGTGGTTCGTCCTTCTCAAACTGCTTTTATGCAAGGCAGGAACATCCTAGATGGGGTTGTTGTCCTTCACAAAACAGTTCAGGAATTGCATCGGAAAAAACTAAATGGGTGGTTCTTAAAATTGACTTTCAAAAGGCTTACGATAAAGTCAAGTGGTCTTTTCTTCAACAGACTTTTAGAATGGAAGGATTTTCTGCAGAATAGCACGCAATGATCCATAGTTTTGGGACTGGAGGTAGTGTTGCCATTAAAGTCAATGATGACGTTGGCAACTATTTCCAAACGAAGAAAGGATCGTGACAAGGTGACTCAATATCGCCCATGCTATTCAATATAGTGGCAGATATGTTAGCAATCATGATTGAGCGTGCCAAGGTTGATGGCCAAATTGATGGGGTAGTGAATCATCTAGTGGATGGTGGCCTCTCTATCCTTCAGTATCCCGACGATACGATTCTCTTTATGGATCATGACCTCGAGAAAGTAAGAAATCGGAAATTAATTTTATCAGCATTCGAGCAACTCTCAGATCTTAAGATAAATTTCCATAAAAGTGAATTGTTTTGTTTTGGCGAGGCTCAAGACGAGGTCCATCTATATGCCGACCTGTTTGGATGCGGGTTGGGCCAGTTTCCAATCACTTATTTGGGGATATTGATACGTTATCGGAGGTTCACAAATGTTGAATGGAAACACGTCGAGAAGAGACTACAACACAAACTTAGTAGTTGAAAAGGTAAACTGCTATCTCTGGGTGGGAGGTTGGTCCTCATAAATTTAGTACTAAGTAACATGGTACTATACACGATTTTCTTCTTCCAATTGCCGAAAGGAGTTTTACATAGATTGGATTACTTCCGATCAATATTCTTTTGGCAAGGAGATAGCAAGAGAAAGAAGTATCAGATGGCTAAATAAAGTGTGGTTTACTGTCCCAAGGACCAGGTAGGGCATTCATGACCTTGAGGTTAAGAATGGGGCCGTCTTGGCAAATGGTTGTTTAAGTTGTTGTCGGAAGATGGTGTATGGCAAACCCTCCTTCAGAGAAAATATGTGGGTTCAAAGGCGATATCCCAGGTATATTGGAAGCCCGAGGACTCTCCTTTTTGGGCGGGATTAATGGCAACGAAGAAATATTTCTTCCGCTATAGGTCCTTCTCGATTAAGGATGGCTCAGAAATTAGATTCTGGAGGATAAGTGGTTAGGTAATGCTACTCTTCGGGAACAATATCCAGCTCTATACAATATTGTGCGCACAAGGGTGATACTATTGCCAAGGTTTTGGAATCATTTCCGTCAAATGTGACATTCAGAAGGGATTTAATTGGACCTAGACTCCAATCGTGAAACATACTACTTGATTAACCACTATACAGTTGTCACAGGGGTCCAATTTATTTCGTTGAAACCTACATGGGAATAGGCAATTCTCAATGGTCTATGTATAGAGTTTTGATCCAGTCTGACGTGCCAGTTGATAATAATAAGAAGATCTGAAAGATGAAGATACCTCTTAAGAATAAAACTCTGCATGGTATCTTCGTCGCGGAGTCATTCTTACTAAAGATAACCTTATTAAGAGGAATTGGCATGGAAGTAAGCAATGTGTATTTTGTCTGCATGATGAGACAATAAAACATTTGTTCTTCCAATGTAAATTGGCTCGTTCTATATGGTCACTCATCCAAATAGCTTCTGGCTTGTATCCTCCTTATAGTGTTGCTAATATATTTGGCAACTAGTAACATGGGATTGATCAGAGGTTCTAAATTCTTCTTAGGGTTGGAGCGCTTGCCATGATTTGGTCGCTATGGCTATGTAGAAATAATAAGGTTTTTAACGATAAAAGTACTTCGCTTATCCAGGTTATCTACAGATGTATAGGGACACTTCGTTTATGGTCTTCTCTACAACGAGTGGAGAATCGAGACATGTTTACGAAGGTGTGTACACGATTGGAGGCTACGACGAGGGATACTTTTACCCAACATGGGTGGTAGCATGATCTTAGGATTGGGCCACCGACGGTTTAGGCGCTATACAAATATACATTTTTATTTGTATTTTGCCTTCCTATTTTATTTTTGCTTGTCGTAAGGACTTTGTTGGCTGTGTGCGTCTTAGTTATGCAGAGGCTGGTGTAATACCTGAAGCTTTTAAGTAATAAAGCACCCCTTTTCGAAAAAAAATGGTACCAAATTTGGTATTTGTGAAACCGAAAAGGAAAATTTAGATATCGACAGTGTTGGAAGGAAGGACATTTAGATCTTCTAAGTGAAATTTGATTTGTTTATTTAGAGAATGGTCACAATTTGAGTCTGATTTTGAATAAATAAAGCCATCAATCAGCCAGGATTACAATTATGAACAACAAACAGAAAATGAGACCACAACACTACTGAACACAAAGGTAATGAAGAAACATCTCACAAAGCAACATACGCTGGACGCCAAAAGGTGGACAAAAAACATGAAACTTGGAGACATCAATTCCCTTTTCCGCAAACACCGCACAGGAGAAGAGGAACATGCCAGCTCGAAAGGCGAAAGCCCGCGAGCAAAATATGTTGGGAAACGTAGCATGCAATTTCAAAAAAAAAAATCCTACGCTCATGCAAGATCTATCTAGGAGATGCATAGTGATGACCCACAAGTGTAGGGGATCTATCGTAGTCCTTTCGATAAGTAAGAGTGTCGAACCCAACGAGGAGCAGAAGGAAATGACAAGCAGTTTTCAGTAAGTTATTCTCTGCGAGCACTGAAATTATCGGCAACAGATAGTTTTGTGATAAGGTAATTCATAATGGGTAACAAGTAACAAAAGTAAACAAGGTCCAGTAGGGTGTCCCAATCCTTTTTGTAGAAAAGGACAAGCCTGGACAAACTCTTATATAAAGCAAAGCGCTCCCGGGGACACATGGGAATTTCTGTCAAGCTAGTTTTCATCATGCTCATATGATTTGCGTTCGTTACTTTGATAATTTTATATGTGGGTGGACCGGTGCTTGGGTACTGCCCTTACTTGGACAAGCATCCCACTTATGATTAACCCTCCCGCAAGCATCTGTAACTACGAAAGAAGAATTAAGGTAGACCTAACGATAGCATGAAACATATGGATCCAAATCAGCCCCTTACGAAGCAA